TGTGTGTGTGTGTGTGTGTGTGTGTGTGTGTGTTCTCTTGAGAAAGCTCTAATTTATTTATTTCTATAATTGATCACATCTCTGCACGTCCTTGTGCACGACGCTGAGCATCTTTACCTTCAGACATTCAAATGCGTTCGTGTTCTGCCACATTAAGAGTTTGTGCACGTGTGCGTTCACACTTCACCTCCAGAGCGTCGACCAGCTGCTCCCCGGTGGAGATGTTGGGGATGTGGATGGTGGTGCTGAAGGCGTCCAACATCTCCATCTCCTGCAGCACGTCCTTCCTGCTGGTGGTGCCGATGATGAGCAGTTTCCGACCCTGTGCACATCAGGAAGTCACGAGGTTAATTGTCTGTTCAAAAATGTAATGTGGGTAAATACTCCTGAGTGATTCGACCAAAGCTCACAACATTTCCTCCTCTAGCCTTTGTTGATTTAATCTAAAAAGGAAAAATCCCGAACGAGACAGAGACGAGGCCTGAAATCAATGATTGGATGATGCAGCGGAGAGATCGAATGAACTTGCTCCTCAGGATGAATCGTAAATGTCGCTGTGGCAAACAGTTCTACTTTAATCTTTTATTTTTCTAACTGAGCTTCACGGCTCAGGAGTGTATCACAGGATTCAGAATGAACTCTGACCTTGGGCGGAGCTTTCTTCAGCAGCACCAGCAGAGCCTGAAGGACCAAGTTGGAGAAACGAGGACCGATGGGGACGTAGTCCAGCAGACGCTCGATATCGTCCACCACCACACAGCTGAGCTGGGACTTATAAGCATCGTCAAACACCTGAGGACGGGGAGGAGGGAGTGGTCGAAGGGGCAGAGTGAATAGTTCTGTGTTTTAACAGCGGCCGTGTGAAGATGGTTGATGATAGATACCTTTTTGATGGCCTGGCACTTGGAGATCTCTGAGTGTCCAATCATCTTGTCTGGAGAGCACATCTTAATGAAGGGGAACTGAGAATCCTCCGCAATCTTAGCTGCCAGCGCCGTCTTTCCACTGTGGGGGGGACCTGAGTGTGTCGAGAGGAGAGCAGCCATTTACTGTCTGTGTGTGTGTGTCTGTGTGTGT